TTCCAAATTTCGCAGATTTTTTAATAAGGTTTTAATATAATTTAATCAAGTTTTACTTTTACCATTTAGACGTCTGTTTAAACTCTTAATTTCGTCCAGCAACCTTAGGAACAATGATGAAATCGTTCTAAAAGAACAATGAAAAATCGTTCTAAAGGAACAATGATGAAATCGTTCTAAAGGAATAATGATGAAATCGTTCTGAAAGAATGATGAAAAAAAATTGTTCCGAAAAAATGATAATAACAAAAAACATCGTTCTTTCAGAACGATAATAAAAAAAAATCGTTCTTTCGGAACGATAAAAAATACATCGTTCTTTTGAAAAAGAACAATAAATATATTGTCTCTTTGGGACGATTTTTTGGGACGATTTCTATCTTTCCTTTGAGATGATTTCTATCGTCTCTTTAGAAATGAATGTATCGTTATTTTGTAACGATTTCTATCGTCTCTTTGGAAATGAATGTTCGTTCCTTTAAGGACGATTTCTATCGTCTCTTTGTGATGATTACTCTCAGAATGTTTTTATTATTTTCGTAAAAATCAGCGTAACAGATTTCGACCAGTAAGATACAGTTGATTTGTTACCAAATCTTGAGTCTTACTGAAATTTTGCTGAATATTATACCGAAAGATCTTAGAGCTGAAATAATGCTAAATTATGTGTGATGTAATCAAATTACTATCGATTTTTGTAACTTGAGCCGAATTTTTGTCAAATCACATGACCGAATCAGCTAAATGTTTGACAAAAGTCTTAATGCTGAAATAATGCTAAATTATGTGTGATGTAACAAATTACTATCGATTTTTGTAACAAGCCAAATTTTTGCTGAATCACATGACCGAATTGGCTGAATGTTTACCAAAAGGTCTAAATTTTGCCAAATCACATGACCGAATCGGCTGAATGTTAACCGAATGGTATTAATGCCGAATGAAATGATTTCGACTAGTGGTCACCTCTACGTGATGTTCAAGATCAACAGTTATAGGTTAATCTTTATCTGGTTAAGAGCAAGCAAACCTTCGTAACTTTAATTTGTTAGTTATTTATTATTTAAATTTATTTGTTTTACATTATTCCAAACTTATTATATACTGAATTTGAATATGATATTCAGTATTACTATCTCGCTGGTTTAAACTGCTCCAAAACAGACTCTTACTTAATAGTGATTCTAGAGTCACCAACGTTTCTTATCCACACCCAAATAATTGTAATTATGATTTTTATTACTATATAACGAATAAATTGTTAAAATTCGGTATAAACGTTACTGAATTTTCTCATATAACAAATTTTGACCTCCAAAAATGAAGATTCATTATAGTGAAGTTCAACTGTTCTAGATAATAAATAATCAGGCCGAAAATTTTTTCTGTTTTCAAAAATCTCGTTCATTTCATTAAAATATGTTCAACAGGGATCTTACTTATATACATACCTGTTTTTTTATTTCCAATATTAATTGCAGCTTTAGCACAAATTTTGCTTTTTTGTGTGGTGTAAGTTAAAATTTTCTGAAAGGTATGATAATAATGATTTGATTTCAGAATCTAACCAACGTTGTGTTTTGGTTTTACTATCAATCAGTTCTAATGATTGATTATCTGGTAGTACATGCAATGCTTGTGAAGAGGAAGATTTGATAATTATACCATTTACATTTTCGAATTTATAAGAATCAAAATCATTGGGAAAAGTATTATTGAAAATGTAATTTTTTGGTTTGCTCATTTTTCAGTTGCAAAAACAAAGAACAAGTTTTGTATAATTTTATAACTGATCTTTACATCATTTATTACTTATCTCCTGCTAATATCTAAATAGAGATTTTTAGATCATAAATTTTGTTATTGTTAATTATCAGTTGCAAAAACAAAGAACCAGTTTTATCTTAGATTTTTACATATTTATTGCTAATATCTAAATAGAGATTTCTTTGATCATAAAATGTTGAAACGTCATTATCTAAATTAAGTCTTCTAATCATAACGGTGCAAATCACAAGACCGGAAAATTTACTGATAATAAAAATTAAAAATAAATTACTGCGTCTTGGCCTTACTATATTCAGATACATTCCTATATAAAGAATATAATAATAACTAAAATTGGATAAGGCCATGTTCTAGTTGTCCTAGTTTAGCAAAACTAATTGCTGGATTTGATATAGGTCTATAATAAAATTTATAGCAACAACTCCATTAGGGACTGTGATAGTATATCCAGCTATATTGGGAACGAACTCCTCTATTATTGACAGGAGGGTTCCAAAATACATCTTGAGTTGGGATGTTGACCTGATAATTGGCAAGACCTGGTCCTGTGCAAGCAGTAGCAACTCTAGTATAATAATCAACAGTTCCGAAGTTCCACTATAAAAAATTTGGTTAAGATTATATTATAGATTATATATATTTAAAAATTGATTGCAAGAACATCAATGGCATGCTAACATTACCTCTTCGTAATATACTCCTGGCTGTCCTGCTACTGCTATGTGTCTTCCTGGTATTAGCGTTACCTGACGCGTCCAGAGTCTTGCCTAAGATTAGAAATAGAAAAAATTTAAAATTTCAAAATCATAGAATAATAAATAGGCTGTATAACACGTACAATCATACATCGATCCAACTGTCTGTTTGCATTTTGTGTAGCTCTTGGACTGTAAACTTTAACTCTGAATACGCATCTTACGTATTGCTGTTGCATCCAAATTTCGCACATGATTCTTGCGTGGGGTCTTCCCTATACAATATAATTAATTTATGTTAAGACTAGGGAAAATTAGGAATAAAATCTGATATGACAGAACCAACCGATTTGTCAACCGGGGGAATTTCAAGATGTCGGGAAGCGGTTCTACGAATTATTCGTCCATGTTGTGGAGGTGGAGCTGGAATTGGAGACTTCGGAATAATTGTCAAACCTGGGTATATAGCAATAACAGGTGCAGACGAATTTCCGTTTCCACGTGGTAGATAGTGAGCTATTATAGGACACGAGAAGTTTATAAAACTGATAACAAGCCTGAGCAACCCAAAGGAATTTTTCTTACTTAAAGAACCAATAACATCAATCGGAGGATTAACGATAACACCTCCGTTGGGAATTTCAAAATATTTTTGAAGCTGTGCAACAACTGCTCTATGTACTGCCTTTTCCATTTCAACTATAAATACGTTTCCCTTTGTATCGATGTCAAATTTATATCCGCTTGTATCGTGGCGTTCAAAGAAAGTATTGATTTTTTCCACTGACAAATTCCAGTCTATCTGTATAGGCAAACTATCATACGTGTCAATACTGGGCGGAACTTAATACTTCTGTGTATTTTTTATCATTTTAAGTCAATCAGTTAAGGTTACGCAATCAAGGTTACGCAAAATAATTTGAGTCAAACTTATTCTTCACGTGGCTACAAAAAATGTCTTTTTTAATAATTATATATTAATTATTTTTAAGACCGATCATATTGTTTGCATGAGATTTGAAGATCAGCATAGGACCAAATTGACCACTACGATCTCTAGTCAACTTGTCCTCTGGGCGACTTCAAAATTATGTATAATAAGGTGGGATAGATGTTAGAGACAGTTTTTTTGGAATGATATCAAAAAAATAATATAAAAATTTCCCTTAGATAGATTTTTATTTAGCCGTAGTAATTTCGCAACGATCGACATTTAATAAAGATTGACTCCGAAGAGTAC